CAATCCAGTAGGTGTATAAAAAAATGTCCCTCTTACAAATGATTGCGAAATAAACCTCCATGGCGGTGAATGAATTGGGGTGAACTTGTGTTCAATTGGTGATCATGTTCCCAGTTGATTGAATTTCAAGTGGCCCTTCTACACAATCTCCGGCACGTTAACAGCCAATCTCAACTGAGCACTTTGCCGGACATCCGTCTGTCTGTCTGTCGGTCTCCGTCCATTGAGATTGGAGCTCATTGTCAGGCACACACCATTCAAGCGCTGACGTGAAAACCATCCGAACGTGCCCGAAGGCACGAAACCTTTAGCGGTGGCCGAGAAAGCATGAGAGACGCACGCGCGCGCACGCACTCACAGCGCGGTTGCCATGGCGAGATGCAAAAAAGGAGGCAGGTTGAAAGGAGGAGAGAAGCAAGGGTGCAGTCGCAGGAAACAGAGAATCCAGTGTTTGCTGCCGCTGCTCTTGTTTTTTTAATCAATCAGCCAGCCTCACACTAATTGATGGCTGCCAACTTCACCCCTGGGGGGGTGAGGTGGAGTGAAAGTCTTTGAGAGACGTGTTCCACCGACACCAATTACAATTGACTCAAACTATTTCTTTTTGGAAGGTGGCCAATCTGGTCTACGTTGAGGCTCAAATGTCGCATTTTGTTAGCGGTTGGCATTCTTAGCCTTTGACAAGAGCTAAATGGAACATGGGCAGTTTACAAGAGCAAGAGGAGAAAATGGAATGTGCAAGTGACACCCCCCCCCCCCAACACACTTCCTGAATTTGTGCCTTTAACCGCCACTTTGTCTTTACCTTTTCTTGTCACCAAGGTAACGAGTCTGACTGGAAGTGGCTGTCCTCTTAGACTCTCCCAGAGGCCATTGCGTAGCCAGCAGGGCATAGTGTGTCAGGAGGTTGAGAGTTTTTGCAGCGGCAAAAGGTGCAAGTGCAAGGAAGCAGGGAGGGCGAGGAATGCAGGAGTCTCTTTTTGACCATCTAAAGTGGAATGGGACTATTTCCTGCAGCCCACCTGATAAGATACAACACACTCGTTGGATGGAAATCAGTGATGTCATCAACCTAATTGGCTAATGTGAAACGCAATAATTTCAGCAATCCCACCCTTTCCCCAGCGTGCCAGCGCACAGAAGAAACACACGCCGGTCGTCATAAACGTCACCATCAAAGATGACTTGCTTTTGTCTGCTCGCGTGTAAAAAATCGTGAAGCAGACTGTCTGCCTTCGAACGAGCGTGACACTCGTGTGACCTAAGGTAACCTAAATGGTCACTGTTTCCATCAGGTCCATTAAAATAAGCAGCTCTTGATTTGCATCAAAGGAAAATTAAATTACATTTTCAGCTGCCACATCTCATCAACTTCCCCGAAGGACACTTGTAGTATTAACATATGACACGGCAAACATGAGGTGTGTGTTTTGTTTTTAGTTTTTTTGAGTCATAATGCTGCTGCAGGGTTAACATTCATGGGGCGCAGTGAGAAAAAAAGGGTGGGGGTAGGGATGCTACGGTGGGCGCTCGTGCACGTGAACCCTGCGACCCTCGACGTGCACGAGCCGCCTGTTGCTGGGCAGCGGCTGCAAGCTAATTTCACCCCCCCCCCTTCCCCGATTAAAACCTTGATTCCTACTACGACTACCGAATGCATGGTTGGCTCGCATCCCCTCTGAGTCTCAAGAGATGCAAATGAGACTCGTCGGTTGCCTCCGCGTCGACCTGCTGGCATGCAAATTGCACCAGTCATTGGCCCCCCACCGGCCGCTGCATGTGCACCTTTTGTCTGAGACACACACGATGGAGTCCCGACTGCATGTGGATGACATCATTTCAGGGAGGAAATTAACATGTCATCATTTTCTTTCACAGATCAGCTCACAGCATGACAATGTGTCAATGATTTCATTTGAGAGCAAATTGTACTTCTGACAGCTCAGGACTATCAAATCCCAACAAAATTGTCACTTGTGCTAAATTACAGCCTTTTTCATCATTTTTTTTTCTTTCCATCCAAACTTGCCCTTTCCACACTATGCAAGACATGCTGCAGGTGCAATGCAATTCACGCAAGAGTAGTTGCATGCCCCCCACACACACACGCACGCACGCACGCACGCATACACACGAACTGCCTGGGTGTGACACCGTTTTGTGTATGCATGCGGTGGTCCTTACCGTGAGCGGAAAGGGGGATTAGAACCACGGAGATGGTGAGAAGGACCTGCCAGGTCCACAAGCGGCTGTCACCGTAGCTGCACGCCATGCCGGCCGTGAGACGACACGCAGGTTTCTTCCTCTGGGCGCTCAGCTGCTCAACTGCTCTGATCCTCTTCAGACAGTGGACCGCAATACACTGGCGTCATTCAACTGATTTGGTGTGGGTCCATCGCGTGCCGGGGTGGTCTGTCCACTATTCCATACGCACCTTTGACGCGCCAGCAACGCGGCTTAATAGTGAATGCTGACCGTAGTTGTAAATGCGCGCCGCTCGTTGATGGATGGAGCCTCTGCAAAAGAGTGTTTAATGAGCCGGTGGGAGATGAGAAGAGCCGGCAGTCTTCCGCCTCCGTGCGTGTCTAAGTGGCAGCGCGTGCGCGGCGCACAGTTGGTCCGTCAGCCTCGCTAAGTCAGCGCGGTCTGCAAGATGCAAAAGCTTGTGCGTGTTAATCCTCTTAGTGTTATATTGTGCGAAAGGCACCAGACAATAGCATCTGCTCTTGAATCACCAAGTAGGAGACTCTGAATGAATGGGAAGGCAATGCCCAACGATTCCCAGCAGGGGGTGCTGTTTTATTTATTTATTTATTTATGTATTTTAAACACTGATGCCTTGAGATACGATTTTAATTGGTTCTGAAAACACGGTCATGCATTTACAGCACATCTGAAAGAATCAAATCATCTTAAAATAAACGGAAATGCCATTATAGTGGAATTAGAGAAGAACTAACGCCCCATTATCATTGCATCTAAAAAAATATATACATTTTTGTGGGGGCGGGGGTATCAATCAGTTTTGCGACACTTACAAGAATAAAATATGTTTTTGAAATGAACATTTACGTTTTTAAATGAACATTAAAGTGGAGGCAATGTTCTTGGTAACAATTTTACATTCTTGCCAGTGCCATACAAGTACAAAGAAAATGTCAACCTCTATAATGGAGCTAAGCTGTTTGAACAAATGTATAGCACTTGAAAGTGAAATACAACTGAACTTTACTTAATTTATCGTTCCTGGATTTGAAAGAAAGTTTAAACATTGAATTCAGATATTTTAACGTCTACCACAAGAGGGAGCCAACGTACAACTAGTGACGTGTCGAGCAGTAGGCCGCAGCGCAGCCAATTCAGTTTTCCGTTGTACGTAAGTGATGGTGAGCCACCAATTTTGCACATGCGCACATATTGCAACCACCCTCTCAGTGATAGTTGCATTTAATTTTACTCTACAAGAATAATTTCTTAACTCATAAACAGTGTTGAAAATAGCTTGCAGACTTATCACGGATACTGTGGGTATGAATCAAATAAGTTTCCCGTCTCTTCCAAATGAACAAATTGCAATCCAATTCCCTAATTAGGAGGCAATTGATCCAAAACTCTCTGAGTGGAGTGGCCCACTTTTCACCATCAATTGCTATCAAACACACTCGAGGCGAAATTTCAAATTTTGACTCTCAACAATGGAGTGGGGAGTTGTTCCATGACAAGAATCTGGCCAAAGGGGAGATGGGATGCGGATATGTGCAAGCAAAGCTGCAGAGCGGTGGCGACTGCGAAAGAGAAAAATGTTTAGTGATGCTCTGCCAAACAGAGCAGAACGAAATTGCTTCCGCCATACACACATCCACGCACAACATTTACAGCCAGAAAAAAAGCTCATCAAATACAGCAATGTAGATGTGTGGTAAATACACACAAGTACATCCTATATTAGCAACATTTTCAACCCAAGATTTTTTTTTTTTTTTTTTTTTGCGGGTTTCATCATGCAGGTTGAACAGATGGATCCAACTGAGAACTAGAAAGGAGCTATCGCGCATCTCATTTGATGCCAGGCTATGTTGGTTATTTCATCCTGTTCCCGTGATGAACAGTAAGGGGTGGACGGGATGTCCAAATTTCCCCCCTCTGTGTGTCCATGTTGGACCATCAGAGGAAACGTAGGCTGTTTTTCCACATATGTACTTAATTCCCATAATTAATCATGACATACCTGCTCATTTATCTTCCTCATACACTGCTTGGACTTGGGTGGGGCATCATCTTACCACAACAGAATGCATGTAAATAAACGTTCAAGGTCATTTCATTTTCAACTGCCACTAATTGATTGTGTTTTGTTTTGGGGTTTTTTTTCCAGGAACTTTGGCAAGAAGCTAATCATTGACCGTTTGGTGACGTCAACCTCATCTGTCGCCAGAGCTGCTTCTGCATACATCTAGAAAAGTATGTGATTCAACATCATTCCATAATAAAATGTTCCTTGACTGACGACTTTGGTTCACTTTTTGTTTTGTTTTGCTTGTTTCAGGTAATGCAGGAAAAGACGCAGATACTAAGACAACCGCAATATCTCGTAGGTAAATAAACAGAAACTTTCAGTCTATTTTTGAGATCCACTACAAAAGCTATCTTTTAAATCATGCCATCAACGTAAGACTTGACTGACAATATAATACTGAACCGCAACTGCTCTTTTTATACTTAGACTGTGTTTTAAATGGAAATTCCCCTCAAGATAATGCAGTGGGAGATCTCTCAGCATTTTTTGTTTAATAAATTAGACAGGAAGACAAGCTGGTAACTTATAAAAAAACAACTTTAATGAGTCGAGACAAATCTGAAGTTGCCTCAACTCGTAAACACAAATATTTCACAGACTTTTTAATGCTTTGAGCTCAACTGGATGATACACACACACACACACACACACACACGCACACACACACACACACACACACACACACACACACACACACACACACACACACACACACACACAGCATGCGTTCTACAAATGGGACTACCGGACAGGTTTTGACCATCAATGCTGTCATCCTTGAACCAAGCACACACGACTTGTGTCGTGTTTGACGGACGCTCAACGCGTCCGTCCGCTCAACTGTGACTCGATGCCAGAAGGCCGGGCTGAGCTGCTGTCATGCCATCGGCCTGTGAGGACGGATCTGTCACAAGGAAAGAAGCAGTTGAAGACCGCCGGAGGTGACGGCAGTTACAAACCGCGGCACCGAGTAACGAATGCTCACACATGCCATTGGATGCTCCGGGGTGGCGAGGGCCCATCGCCTGCATTTGTCCTCCACTCGGGGTGATCCGGTTGGCCACGGACTGACCTGAAGCAGGGGCCACAATGGAGTCTGTGTTTACTTATCTTATAGCAGTTGTTTGATTTTTCATCCTGACTTAGGAATCAAATCGACCACTGTCCTAACCGGAATGCTGCTGCATCGTGAATCCTGGCTGTCCCTGTTGCTCCCTCTGCTGGAGAAGCTTCATCTCCGCCTGTTTGAGCTGCTCAGTATGGAAGGACTGTCTCTCTGTAAGAAGCTGTTGCCGCTGCTGCTCCAACTGCAAAACAAGCAAACAAACGTCTTACAGACACAAATCCAGTGAAGAAAATGCATCACCGCAATATCCCCCCCCCAAACAACAGAAAAAGACATCATCCACTCACAGCCTCTTTCTCACGGTCCATGATGGTCTCCAATTCTTCAAAGTGTCTCAGTTTGATCTCAAGCTTCTTCATTTGGGTCTCCACCAGCAAAGCCACCAGAGACTTGATCTTTCTCTCCTCAACTGCTGCCAAGTGCTGCGTGAAGGACAAAGTTTGACACCAAAATATTCATTCTGCCAGTGGAACTAAAGTAAGTAAACTCAAGTGTAACTAAAATGCAAAAGTCAACACACTTCACCCCGCAACAAGCATTTTTGGTGACTATATTTGAAACCGCGTCTTAGTTGCTAAGAGGACTGAACAGTCAATATTGTGAATCGTTTTCAAAATGAGAGGATGCCCCTTACCTTCGCCTTTGTTGCAGCAGAGGACAAAGCGGCCGCTGCTGCCGTGGTAACGGTGCTCTCGACAAGATCCAGCTCCATCGCCGCTCTCCCCTCATCCCCTTCTCCCTCCTGACGCTGCGTGCCGTCGTCCTCATTGCCTGGGAAACGTGTTGAGAATTTCTCAAGGCCAGATAAAATAACGGTTTGTCGTATCAACATCTTTTATAAAACCTGATTTGATATTGTACCGATGTGAATTCTGTCGCTTTCCTCTGCATTCTCTCTTTTGACTCCTTCAACTTTGGGCACTATGGATTCAACCAGGAGCCCGTCAGCATTCACGGCAACCTGCACGAGGACCAAACACGCATACGTTCAACATCAGGAAGAATGGACGTGTGCCTTTGCTGGCCGTCTACCTGATGGGAACTGCTGTTCATCTGGACTTGTGAAGCATCCGTTGAGTCTGAGCGGTGAGAATACATTTGTAACATCGATAGATAGCAATTGTGTTTAAACTGTACTTCAAAATCTCACCAGTTGATTTCAGTTGGTTGCACGTCATTTCATTCAAAGACTCTTCCTGGACTTGTGAAAATTCCTCTGGACACAAACTCAATCTTTAGACAGCATTTCAATTTCAAACTACACATACGAATTCTCTCGCGTCCCCTCACCCAGCGCAGCCTTAGCGGCGGCTGACGCCACCCGCGGATCCACCACCGAGGCCAGGAAGGCCACCGTGCTCATCACGGGGTTCTCGGATTGGCTGAAGGGAACGGGCTGGTACGCCAGCGGGCCGAGGGAGGCGGACGAATCCTCGAGATACGGGTCCTCTATGGGCAGACGGAGGAAATGGAGGATGCAGTCATCCTGTGTTCTTGAGCCCACGTGCTCGGACACTTTATTCCAGTCGTCCCTGTAGACCTCCAAGGCCTGAGAAATCCCCCAAAACAGGTTTAACCGCAAATACGGTACCGTTATATTAGGATTCATTAAAAAAAAAAAAAAAAAGACTTACCTCTAACAACAAAAGCGTCTCTTGCTCTGTCCACTCCCGTCCCGCACAAGCGCCCTTTGTCTAAGACAAATGCAAAAGAATGACAGCAGATGTTGAAAAATGCATTGTGCAACACAGGTAATAAATTGAAAAGCCACGGAAGTTATTTCAACACTTCAACGTGTTTTCTGCGGGTGCGGAGACCTTTGGGTGTTTCTTGGCGTAAACATCCATGCGCAATCCGAAATTCTGGCAATCCAAAGGCTTCTCTCTGCTCTTCTCTGGGAAGCACAACATGTGCTGGGATGATGTCACCTGCAACGGCAAACTTAGACCATTACAACTAATCTAGGAAACGTAAAATTACATGCGTGAAATCCACTTTTAATTGCGCAATCTTATCGTCTGATAGAATGTATTTTAAAATAAGGTTGCAATATTAGAAAGTGTTGTGAATACTTTCCGGATACACTGCGCGCGGGTACTTTTGCTCACCTGCAGTGGTTTGTGTTGTAAAGGGGCCAGCCCAGTGGGCGTGTCTGCCAGGACATTAAAATGAGGAGTGGGTGGGGGTCCCATGGGGAGTGGTCTGCTCTCTGCGTCCACCTGGTAGTTAATCAAACCCCACTGTTCTAAAAACGCATGCACCCTGTACACAATGACCGCCATCATCAGTTTGACGTCCTTTCAGCAGCTAACGCGCAGAACTGCAACGAGCACAGTTGCACACGTGGATACCTCAAAATGGAACAAACATCCCCGGTGAGATTCCGCCGGCAGGATGTCGAGCTGAGGTATTCCTGGGGGTTCAGCCGGTACGTGTCGACCATGAAATTACGGTAGGCCAGGTAGCTGTCACGTACAAGACAGAATATACTTTGAACAACTTTGACTTCCTGATTGCTCGAATTTATTTCATTTTATTTTACAGGACTCGACAGTTCAGTCGTGTTCAGTCTGTGTGGGCCACTCACACTTCCGGTGATTTGGACTTGTTCTTTCCGTTGAAGAATTCAGGGAGGGCGCGCTTCTCGATTGAGTGGATGCTGACAAAAAGAAATAACGCGTAAGTACGGTCGAGTGTCCAAATCACCTCCCCCCAAAAAAATTCATGTTCGGCTGCACGAATGCATTTCAACACGTTTCGTCACCTGTTGTTATTGAACCAAGATGTGTAACTTGGTATTATGATGTGATGGGTTTGTTCAGTGATGTTCTCCTCGCCCTCTAATAGGCGAGGAATCTCCATTCTTCCCTCCTCATCGTCCTGGTTTACAATCCACGCGAGCAAACACAACATCAGCTGGTTCACATTCAGAAAACATCCAATTCCAATATTTGTGCTGATACAGGAAAAAAAAGATATATTACAAGATGTATTTAAATGTCAATGGTAATTACCCTTCCCGGAAAATCGTCTTCTTGGTCATCTAAGAGAGAAATAGAGCAGATGATGAGAATGTGTGGTGCAATCACATAAAAATGTCGGCAGAATTAAACTGACAAAAATAATGAGAGCCATTTCAAAAAGCATGCTCATGTGCCATTTTAAATATCAAATCTATTGTGCACTATTTTAATAAGAAGGGGCACATTTACCCAGATCGGCCATGATCCCTCCTTTGACAGGCGTATTCTCACTGTCCTTTTTAAAGTTGACTGCAAAGGACACAGTAACAACAAAATGAAATGCACAGAAATATGACTCCCCAAAAATGCATTCAAAATACCATAATGTATTTTTTCTATGAATTGTGGATCCTTTCAAGAAAAAAAAAACAAAACAGACGCAATACTGGATGTCGCTTACCAATCTTGGGTAATGTGATCTCCTCCATGTTTGGAACAGGCGTGGGGTCCTCCATTTCTTTGGTCAAGTCCTCCTCTGGCTCCTCCTCCTGCTGTCCACGTCGCCGTCTTCATGTAAATATCCACACGATAATCATTGCAAGTCCAGAACAACCGCACCACACGGAATTCAATTTGAATATTGCATACCCCTTTTTTCCTTTCTTCCTAGCTTCAGAGGACAAGGGAGAAGGAGAGCGTCTTCTCTTTTTGAAGGGGGTGGACTTGACATCCTGACACAGATGAGGTGAATTGTCAAGACACCTTATTTTCCCTCAAGAAATATTCTTTCGGCACCCCGCAAAATAACAGACCTGGTCTTCTCGTATGTGTATGCGCTGTCGAAAAATAACAGGCACGTTCCCTTCATTCACGCAATAGTCTTCTTCGTTCATCCACTCATTGAAAACGTCCGTGTCCAGAACATAACCAGCGTGGACCTGGATCACACGGACAAATAAACATAATACCGTCGATAGTAAATGTGAACCTGTACAATCTGCTTGCTAACGTTTGCAAAAACAAGGGCCTACACTTGGAAAATCTAACGTGTGCTCACCCTCCACGGTTTCTCTGGCTGAGGAGGCTCCTGAACATCTCCATTGACATCACTCGAGGGCACCCAGCTGTCATAACTAGAAAGATGGAAGGGAGAAAAAAAATGGGGAATGTTTTTGTTTGAGAATCTGATGTATGGTCACATGTGTACCTCTCTAATACCTGTCAGGGTGCATGCCCCAATGCACCAGGATATAGTTTTGTTTTCGCATGACAGGCCGAATCCATTCCTCTGGAATGCAAATAGGTCAAATAAAATTCCGGCCTGACTGTGAAGCATTTAGTCATGACATGCACATGTTTTTGCCCACCTTCGTCTGTGGATGAGAGTGATGGATATATGTGGTGACTTGCCAGGCTTCTGTCCATACTAACTGTGCCCTGCATATCCGGATAGAAGCAAAAGAGTGTCACTGTTCGAACGTATAGCACCTTTGGAGCCCAATAATTTTACCTGGTGCTTTGTAACGACAACACTAATTCTGCTGGCCAGGTCCTGATCCAGCGAAGGGTCCAGATAAACAACCGGATGTGACAAACAGTGTTGCTGTTGACACACATGCACCAAAACAAAAATTTAAAAAAAGACATTCACATTTGTTGCCTTTTAGGATAGTTCTTTTTCAGTGCGTCCTTACCTGTAATAGTGTTCTTTCAATCATATCAAACATTTCGACATTCCTTTCACTCCTTGATGGATTTTGCAAGTCAAACCTTCGCCTGTGAAAACAGAGAATGGAGGTCCGGTTATTCATTATCACACTGGAAGCAAAGACGCTTTGTGGGCTCGCTTGAGACTCACCAGCCTTGCTCAGATTTGAACTTGTACGCTGAACCGAGGATGTGACACAGTCCACCTCCCGGCCGCAAGTCCATGAAACACTGTGTCTGGAAAGTGAAATATGCCTCAGACAGTGAGAATGAACTGTCGGGATCTTGCAATTCCAAACGTCAGATGGTTGTGAGAGATTATAATCATGTAAGTAAATGTGTGGGTAAATTAAGATGCGTGCATCATTAATGTGTTTCAGATAAATCGTTTTCTTGCCATCTTTGGTGCTATCACTTCGAATGTGGATTTAAGGATTGGTAGTGATCAGGTTAAGTTGTTTGGCAAAAATGTTGAAAAGAGCCTTACGGGGAGTTTGTTGCGGGCAGGATTTGGAACTCGTCTGCCGAACGCATCCTCTTGAAACTGGAGGAGCTGCAGCGTCACAGCAGCCAGTGCCTGACATGATGGAGCATCCACCAACACAAACTACACAAAAGAGATTTGATGAATATGAGGAGTGCTTGGTGACTGACAATCACGGGACTGCATTTTCTCCAACATTCTTCACTCCCAGCTGTTAAAATGTGTACGATTAACAATTGGTGAGGTGCAAAATTGGATTTCGGTGCTGACCCGCACCAGCAATGTTGTTTAGTGTAAGACAATACCGATGCAAACGTTAAACCCTGAGGGATGTCTGTTTACAATCCGCAGGAAGGCGGCGACTAGCTTTTTAGCTTCGAGCTAGCTACCTTTTTGTAGTACTTCCCGATCCACTGGCGCACTAGCTCCAGCTGAGCTAATATGTCAGGACTCTCCCAGAACCAAGCGGACGGAATGCTGTCTTTTTTCCGATGGGCGGCGAACCCGGAGCTGGTCTGACCTGTCCCTGGAAATTCAACGTTCGTTGCTCCGGACATAGCGAGAATAAGCAGTGATTATTATGAAACGACAGAACAAAACTGGCTAGCGCATGCTAGCTTCGGCGATCTCGCGTTCTGTCGCGAGATGACAGACGCTCTCTCGTCAACGTAAGAATAATCCTGCTGTTTGTTCGATAGAGGGCGACAACGAGCATCACAAATCGTAACCAGGAAGAAGAAATCGAAGAAAAGGGAGAAGTGTCAAAAGCAAGCCAGGAAAATACAACGCACGGACAACAAATCAAGTTTTAAAGTAGACTAGATGAGAAGCTCTGGAGTTTATATTCTATTCGTGAAAGGCGTGAATTCGGGGCAGATTCAACCCACGGAGGTAAAGGTACGGAATATTACAAGGGAAGAAAAGGAAAAAAAAGTTTGTCTTTTGGCTCAAAATCCTCCATTCTTTAAAGATGAGCAACGATTGTAAACAGTGTTCGGACGGAAACGGTAAAAGAACTAACTTAGTTCATATATTTGCAAATACAAGGTGTCTACGAAGAAATCGAGTACTCTCGTTATGTGCCTTGTGCAAACTAATGGTTAAATTAGCCCAAAATGCATTCCTCATTCTTTTCCCAAATCGCCACAGATATGTCCATTCATATTGCTTTTGCAATCTATCCATTTCATCGCAGATAGCACATAGTAGCAACGTGACAGCTTGGTTTCCTCAAATTGACAGTCTGTCAGAAATGCTGAGTCTGGTTGCAATGAAAAACGAGAAAGCCAGAGCCCTGATTGAAACCCCCACTCACAGATTGACTGAAAACAAAATTTTTCATTGGCATTAATGTGAGTGAATGATTGACAGGTGACCGGGCCAGGGTACTCAACTCAATTCGTCATATCTATGACACTCTTAGGAAGTAAGGCCAAACAGAATGCACAAATATTGTTGTTGTTGTAATCTGATTAAAAAACGGCACTTCCAGACTTTTTCCAACCACTGTATACTTTCAATCCATGTCTTTCCAGAGCCTGAGATCCCATGGGCGTTCATGGTCTTACTACCTTTGTGGAAGGAAACCGACATTTCCTTTTTGATGTGAAATTCAAAGACAGCCGACTGCTTGTCGACGGCAGCAGTTTGTATTTCCATCTCTACTTGAAACACGGTTTGGACCGACAGCATGGAGGCGATTATGATGCCTTTGCAACACTGGTCCTTGAGTTTCTCTCTGCCCTGCAGGCCTGTAATATTGAACCATATGTGGTTCTGGATGGAGGTAATTTCATCATTTTAAAATCAATCTCAAATCTTTATTGCTATTCCCGTTATAATTTAGTTCTTAACGTTTCTTTTCACTCTTTTCAGGGATTGACCCCAGCAACAAGAAGTTTGGCACTCTGCAGCAGCGTCTGCAGTCCAGAGTTAGGGAAGCAGAGAATATGTCTCAAGGCCGCAATGGCTCAGTTCTCCCTATCCTTACACGGCAGGTCTTCGTTGAGGTCCTAAATCAGAGGAAGGTCTCCCTGGTCCAGAGTCTTGCTGAGGCTGACTGGGACATTGCCTGTCTGGCTCACCAATGGAGGTGCCCAGTTCTGAGCAACGACAGTGATTTTTTTATTTTTGACCTTCCAGGTATAGGACTTGCATCTAAAGAGATGCAGTGCTGTGAAAAATTATTTCACGCCGCTGAATATATTTTGTGTTGCTGAAGTATTTTTGTGTATTTTGTCTCATCATAGGTGGATACCTGCCCCTGCAGTTTTTCAACTGGACCAACCTTAATGGTAAAGCGTCTCACTGCTACATCCCAGCTCGGTGCTACACCACTCAGGGTCTCTGCCGTTTTTATGGAGGAATGAATCCGGAGTTACTGCCTCTCTGTGCTGTTCTGGCTGGTAATGACTATGGCACTCCAAAAGAAGCTGAAAGACTCCTGCATTTGGTCGATAGAAGAACTGGCGGCCAGGGGAACACTAAATCGCCCTTTTCCCGAATTGACGTCCTGCTTCGTTGGCTGTCCTCTTTCCCAAGTTCAGTGCAGGCACTGGCGGAAGTGAAGAGGCTCATGGGAGCGAACGGCGGCGGTGGGCTCAGTTCACAGCTGAAGGCGCTTATGAAGGAGTATCATGTGACCCCTCAAAGCCCCCTGACTTGTTGGTTCACTGAACGCAAGGTTCCAGATGAGCATAATCGAACGTTACCGAAGGGCTTGTCGGGGGCTGCAACAGAAGGACATCTGGCTCCCCTGGTGATTGATGCTTTGGTTCTGCGCAGGGTGCTCCTCAATCCACAGGTGGAGAACAGCAGGCAACCAAGCAGCCACTGTTGCGCCACAACTATACGCCAGGCCATATATGGGATATTACTGCTCGAAGGGAGGCCGACGCCTCCTGATAGCTCCCAGCCCTTGAAATTACCCGAGAGTTTTACCCAGAGTGGTGGGAGAGCTCAATGGGGCCAAGCGCACGGTCCAGCTGCCGTACTAGACACCCGGCAAGTCTCCTCCGCCCCCGTCCGTGTGGAGGAATGGGATCGGCTTCACCTCAATCTGAAGAGAAACCAAGTGGAGGCACTGCGGCTAAAATCCCATTTCCATGTGGATACCCTCAGCGTGGTAACTATGAAACACTTTGATTCTCCTGTGAGTAAACTTATCGGGAAATTTCAAAATAATTCAAACTAATACCACACCGGCATCATATTGTGACAGGCAGAACAACTCAATGTGAAGTGACAGTAGCCATTCCTAACCTTCACTGTAATTTGGTATATTTATTTAATCATTAAAAAAACCCCACTGTCCACTATGTCTTTAACAAATTCAATTTCAGAAGGAATAGAGATCGATGACCTGTTACTTCTTCTTTCGACTATGCAGGTCCCCGGAACGCGTCGTCGCAATGCCCTATTTGAAGTCTTGCGGGTCAATCCGTCTGCCTTGGCTCATGTTCCTGCCAGCATGTGTCTGCCCGTGGCGGTGACAAGCTTCTGGCTGCGGGAGGCCGCGCCGAAGCCTTCACAGCTTCAGCTCCAGGCCTTAATCGTGGGAATGGTTTACGGAGAGCTGGTTTTGATGCAGCAGACCGGAGTTGTGTACTACCAAATTCCCGGTTTGTTACACTGCATGACAAATGTCATTTTTACCCATGTATGTATATTTAATCACTACGATGAGAAAAGCTTAAAGAACTAGCCCTCTCTGCTCATCGCTTTTGTGGTCCGCAATTCCAGTCCCGAAGGATAATTGGACCGAGCGCGGTTTGATTCATCGGCTGGATCAAAATCGTTTGTCTTCGAGAAACGGCATGGACGTCGCAGCGGCTCACAGTTTCGCCCAATGGCAGGCCTGCCTCTGGAGTGCGCAGTGTCTGAATCAGTTATTGCTGATGCCGATGAATGAAGTCCGCTTCTCACAGTAAGAGAAAATTGAAGTCATACGCTGTTTGCGTTTCCCGACTTTTTGCAAAAACATGGGGTCTTTTTGGGGTGAAATTTCAGGATGAACCACTGATCTACATAACCTTTACAACAGAACCGTCTCTAAACTTTTGAATGCTCATGTGACGTTCATAGTGAGTTTCTATTTTACCCAAAAGCCAATAATCCAACCTGAACACAAAATGAATGACAAGTCTACTGGTAGTTAAGGCTCCATTTATATCCTCGGACTCCTGTAGCTATCAACATAACTACCGCCCCCCCCCCCTTTTTTTCGTTCAGTGATTTGTTGACTCTCTTCTGTGCCTTTTCTATTAGTTTGTTCAGCGGTACCATGGTGCACGGCGTTCTCAACCTCCTAAAAAAAGGTGAAACGGTAGATCGTGTGCTGCCCAAGTTTTCCTACGACGTTTACAGCGTCCTGCTACATGCCGTGAAGAACTGCGGCTACAAGCCGCAGCCTTCCTCTGCGAGAGGCGGCGCCGGGCGAGGCGCTGAGCGGGGAAGAAGAGGAAGAGGAAGAGGAGCAGCGGGAGAACGGAGAGGAAGGGGACGAGGAAGGCGAGGAGGGGTAGACGGGATCAGCAACCGCTTTGCTGTTTTAGAAATCAGTGAGTAAGACAAGAATGATATTCAGACTTACATGGGACCAAATGGACAGCAGCGCATGTCATCAAATTTCAGAAATGCTCAGAAGCAACTCCGTTGTCATTTCGTAATCATAAATCCTCAGTTTCAGCTTGTGCCTTTTGATCACATTCGTCGCAATCTCTTTTCAGCTGCACAATGGCGAAGAGTATAATCAAATATCTGCTGTCGAATTTTTAATATTTTTTTTACTGATACGTTTTATCAAGTGCACTATGTATTGTAATTCATGTCTTCAATGCTTACGCATTTTTTAAAAGATGTCATTTTAATCTGCAATATATATATACAATAAGCCAATGTCATTTATACACATTTAACATTTCAACATAACAGCAGGCAAGCAATTAAAAAAGTCATGGAAGCTAATCCGGTATATTGACTCATTCTTTGTCAAGTCCGCGATGAACATCAATTGCCAAAAACCAGAGTACTAAATAATGAAAAGTCGTCATCTCAAAACCGCGAGGTCAACCAAAAGTTGAAACTGCATTAGATGAGATACCTCTTTTGGACAGTGAACGGCACTTTTGTGCCGTTATCTGAACACGACAGAGAGAAAAACCGACAGCGGCGGATTTGCCTCGTTGACATGGCCAGGGGAATTTTTTTATTTTTATTTATTTTTTTATGCCATTGACCTTCCATTTTCACATGGATACAGTGTTCTTGTATCTTGATACTCTTCCACAATTGGTTCATATTACCTGTATAATGTATATTTAAAGAACAAATGTACACATTTTTCTGAATGCGAAGTTTAAAGGAATTTCTTTTTGTTAAAATAAAATTAAGTTGAGAAGTCAGTGTTTGTCATAACATCCACAATCACGGTTTCAAGGCAAAATAGTGTCGGCCGTCTGTTGAGAATCGATCGCTCTGATTGGCCGTTAGCTAGCAAATCAGTGCATGAGCTAGAAATTAGAATGTCCAAGAAAAGCAAAGCAATAGCAACTAAAATAGCATATCGAGTCATCCAAACCCTGACTGGATAATATGATAAACGATGACTTTAGTTACAGAGCGTTTACGACCCATGCGAATGTGCGCGTAGCTTGGCCACAGGTTCAATGTGAGGTGTCACCACACTGAAAAATTTCTGGCTAAACCACCGGAAAACATAAACCATGTAAAAATAAGTACATGTCTAGAGCAAGATTGTGTTATTGCGTAACTGTACGGCATTCCTGCCCTCTGAGAGCATTTAATTTGGTTTTGAGCACAAACCCTCCCAAGTATCGTCTATTTGTGCACAGAGTTGCATTTTTAAACTTGATTGCAGTGTGTGCTGGCATGTGTGTACACAGCGGACTACAATAAAAAAAGAAGATAAGGAACATTTCAGGAGTCGTATGATGCTGACGTCATGCGGAATGTGGACTATTGTCTGAAATCATTGACACGAAAACTCTTTGGGAGACAGTTACAGAAAAATGCTCCGGCGCCTCTGCACTTGCTGCTTCGCAAATGAAAACTCCGACAACGAGGTATGTGTTCCATTCCATGCACGAGCAGTGTATTATTGTCAAAAGAATATTAGTGTGTGCGCTTGAGCTTTCAGAGAAGCGTTTCACATTTGGCTGCTTCAGAACTAGTGTTGTGTTCTCTCTCGTTCGACAATTCGGTCATCTCGAAAAGGACTTGGGCTTTGGAACCCGTGTATCACATTTGTTGATGAAAGGGCTTTGTGTGTCCTGACCACATGCCTTTGAGCAAGGCACTGACCCCTCCCTGCCTGAATAACTGGCTACGGTTGAAACCCGGGTTCAGATTCACTAATCCAGTTGTGACTTAACGAATGCAATGCCATTCATAATTATGTTATCTTATTCATCCCATTTTTGGTTTTATTTTTATTTTGACTCGCATCATCAGAGGCAGCCTCTCTTGCAGCCCTGTCCACCTGAACTAAATGGAGCCGAATCCGCCAGGCTAACACGACCAGTACATGGCGGTATGTCATCCTGAACACAGAAAAGGTGTTATGATGGGCACGGCAATATGTGAACAACCTGCGCGGTTTGGTGATTTTATTTTATTTTTTGTGCTAGACGTGCAGCAGAACGGCAGACTGGTGATGAAGCGGGTGTGCGTGCCGGAACTGGATTTGAGGTTTTCCGACGTGGCCGAGACCTTCAATGAGCTGCAAGAACGTTATGAGAACATGCTTCTCCACATTCGAAACCTGCAAAAGAGTTGCGGCTGCGCACACAACGATCACCTGACGATATCCGAATGCCTGGCCAAGATCAGAGAAGAACACAGTAAGTGGCTTGAGGAAAGGTCAAGAGTTTCAATAAGACCCTCTTTTTTCGTTTTGTTCAACTTCCTATCATTGGTCTTCAAGGAGACAAATGCAAGGTCTCACTCAGGATGAAGGGCTACGACTTCTCCCTCTCTGTGGTTCCCGTGGATTCACATGGAGCAGATAATGAGACTTTATTTCCTCCCGCTCTGCGGTTCGCTCAAGAAGAGCTGAAGTGCACTTCTGAGAACACCAAGGCCGCCGTATCGAAAGGTGCAATCCTTCAAGAGCTGATTGGCTGGCTACTTCGGAGCCAGGTTCAAATTGCCGAACAGGTGAAGAGGGTCACGGCGACTTACCAGGACCAAGGGAGACTTCATGAGAATCTGGAAAAGAACATGAAGGAAGTCAGGAGGGCCAAGGAGTTGTCAGTGAAATACAGACAACATGCTGAAGAGGTCCTAACTGAGGCAGCTCGGGTAGCAGGTGCTCCTCTGTAGTTCTTTCACATTTTTTAACTGAATTCACTGACCGTCAACTTTTATACAAGTCAGATATTGTATCAATGCTGGTCTGATCGTTGGGGAGGGAGGGATCTAAAACATGCAGGACAGCGGTCCACGAGGACGGGAATTTGACACCTGTGCCTTAAAGCAATGGATATTTGCCCACTAACGCCGACGCAACACATGTAGACACGCAGTATAACAAAGCTAACTAACAGGCACATATGATTTAGCCTCTGTGATGAACGACACATATTACCGCCGTACTGAGAAGCCTAGAGAGGGAGCTAAGTCTCCAGGCCAGTATCTTTATGCCTGTTTGTTCAGCTGGGCAAGGCTGCCTCACCAGAATGAGCAGCACAATGTGCACTGAAAAAGAAAGTGTGAGGAAAAAAATGTTTATTTTTATTTGATTATGTCATAACTGTTTTTATAAAGCATGATATGATAGCGCACTATTTTTTTCCCCTCATTAAAAACACATAGCAGTGTGTTTTAGTTGTTTTGGGGAGGTCGGAACATATTCAGGGGATTTATTTTCATTGCAATGTGGAAAGATGATTTGAGATACTTTTTTTTTTTGTGTTACGAAACATGGTAAACAAACAAAATTTTATCCAAGGCACCACAGTATTTACAAGGTCGTGATGAACTGTCAAAATCAGACACTTCTTCATAACCGTACTGAAAATGTCAAACTCTTGTATCATGCACGTTGTAATAAACGGAACAAAATGTTACACTTTCTTGAAAAAGCTGCAATTTAATGTTTCTGTACTTTTAGTCATCAACGCGAGGGGGCAGGCGACACCCATAATGTGTTTATTACAGAGAGACTACCTGGGTCAAGAGAAAATGTGTTATGGTTATTTTTATCACCCCAGTGGTTAAATATAATCAAGCTCTAATACTCCTGGCCTGAAATGAAGAGACCATCACCGGATGTTGAGGGAGCAGATCTTTTCTGATTATTTAGGACAGGGTCAAATGATTACAAATGTTTAATCTCCCAATTCTGTGAAAGCCTGCCCACAAATCACCAAGTTCCATTTGATCATGCATTCTCTATTTATACCCCATTGTTCCAAAATTCATGGTCAAAATGAAATGCATCAGACAACAGCGTTTAGCTCGAATAGATTCTTTTCTCATAATGAACGTGCAGCATTTGCTGTATGGAAATTATAACATTACACTTGTTCCACAAATTGACGTGCAATATTCTTGAAAATAATTCATTTGAAATACATTTGACAGATCACGCGTCAAGAGAGAGAGCGCGGCTGACAGCGACAACCTACCCTGATCGTGGAAATAACCAACGTAAGAATTTCATTGGCTTATAAATTAAGAGGGCGGGGCAACATGACTTCCTATTCGCCTCTCATTGGCCCACTCGTCCTTTTCCTTTCGTTGAGTCTGAGAGCTCCCATTTAAAGATGGTTTGACTGAGGAAAGTACCCACGATGAACGAGAGGGTCTGCTGCATTACTGAAGGGAACCAAGCAGGAGGGAAGTGATGCTTGTTTACTACTTGTCGGAACTTTCAGGACGACACTCGCCAGAGCTTCACAACTAGCATGCCAGTAAGTAAATAATAACTTGTCCCGGTTTAGTTGTTGTCGCGCCTTAGCCGAGCTAGCTAACTAGCTATACCTGTAGGCAATCGTCATGACAGTTCGAAGTCATTCAGCAAGATTAAGAGTGTGTGGCGGGCTGAGATTAATCTTTTGTTACTTTGCTGGCTGGTTTAACACAAACGCGGAGCAAACTAATGCTGGCAAGGGCACCGAGTAACATTTGCATTTTAGCAGTCCGATTTTTCAACACAAGTGCGAATTTGGTGTAGTGGAGTAATATGAACCCCACATATGCAATTACGATCCAGTTTAGCGATGGTTCCAGCATAAGCGGACCTGTGGTGTCATTTTTCCACAGAGAAAGACTTTGCACCGGACTCTATTTTGAGACTGTTGTGTGGGTGTGTTCCCTTGCAGACAAACCACTTCACAGTGCCTTGGTAAAGCGTTGTCATATCTGTCCAAGCATCATGTGAATCATGTGATGCAGCTTTCAGTGGGACACTAATGTGAGAGTATTCCTAATGAATAGTCCTTACTTTCTTTTTTTTTCTATGTCTCCCAAAAGCAGTCTGGTAACATGTGAGCTTGGTCCTGATTTAAGCCACAGAGGGGTATTGATCCTGATTTTATGGAGCTGCATGGGATGGACAAAATATTAGACACTTGACTTAGGTGATAGATTGATACCACCTCCCTTTGCTGATACAAAATGCAAATGACAATGACGTATTTCTTACTTATACTGATTCAAGTTTTGATTTTGTTCTCATATGCCAAACATGCTTTAAAACAAGTATTCCCAGCAACACATTTCACATGTTAGTTTCATTGATCACTCTTACATCCTCGTTTTTTAAAATAATAATATTGTGATTGCAACTAATTTTTTTTTTTTAAAGGTCCTCTTCCCACATATTTTCTTGAACATATACGAGGAGTAAATTATGGGCTGCACTTAACTGTGAGTCTCAATAGTTGTTTGTTTACATCCATCAATTGAATATTATAAAATTGCATGGCTCACCATTTCCAGATGTCTGTCTCTCTTTTCTAATGTGATCTTTGGAAGGACATACTTTGGTTCACAATTTTCCAACATGCCCATAGTCATTACTTTTTCAACGAGGGCACCGTGCTGTTAGCATTGTTCAGTTCAATCGACTCTGAACAACTTTCTTGTTTCGCAGTATGCTCGAGGCGTCGGAAAAGTCATCAACCTGGCAGTGCTGACTGTGCTTTTATAAACTAGCTCTCTGTTTGCAATCATGTTGTTAGTGCAAGCAGTGCACTTATCAATGTGTTCTTAGCTGTGGAAGCTGCCCCAAAAAATCCGTGGAATAAAATCACATTAATTGATTATATCAATGAATCACCCAAACCTACTCCCGGTGTATGACATACTGTTGAATAAATACCTACCGAAGTGTCAGTCAAAATTGAGAATTTCCAGTTGTGTGTCTTGTCACAAATGCATACACCTGCACAGCGCCTTATTATAAGTGTGGGCAATTATTTCTTGGGACTGCGAATAAATTTTTTTTTTTTTTTGACAGCCAAGCTGGTCTTTGGAGCTCGAGGAAAACATCACGTTGCTTGTCACGAAGCGTGTGGTGACTACGCAGCCCCACTCTTCTGTGAATTATCAGAGTTGCGTAACGTACAGCATTTGAATTCACCGTGGAAGCTGGTGATTCGTTTTCTCTTCAGAGCGCCGATGAATTGGGAAGACTCGCAGCGGCATTCCAAGCTATTTCTGACTGTAGCAGAAAATTGTCACGTTAACCCCGTATGCTCTGACTAATGAAGGAAAAGGGGGGGGGGCGCGATCGTGTTGGGCGACGATGCATCATCAGCTTTAGAGCGTAGGCTGCTACAAGAGGTTTCCTGTCTTTTAGAGCGCTCCATCTATCTCCCATAACAGCAAAAACCACACGCTAAAAATGCATCGCTGGGATCTCACTGCCTCGCGCTTTTTAACAGTTTTAACTGCCATCCAATTATTAAACACTTCCATCGTGAAACCGCAACATGATGATCCATACCACTTTTTTTCTACGGCCGATACCAGTTCGACTCTTTCCCCCTTTTGAGTACTCACCGATACCGAGTACTGATACCTGTAGTGCTTTTGATATGTAACATTTCTTTGAACACAATGACCAGAAAAAAACAAAAACGGAACATAGACCTTTCTGTCTGATGCAGATGATTATTCCGCCGGTGTCAAGCTGCCACAGTATAGCGCCAAGTACTGCCGAACCATGTTTGATGTTTGAGTCTACAGTTGCTTGCACATTTTTTTTTTTTTTTTACTTCCTGTTTCTTCTCAGGTCAGGACTGAAGCAACCTGAAAGTGCAATCATAGAAAAGGGGAAAAAAAGCATTCAGCTTCAATACAAATTTCTTTCAAAACTTTCAACCATTTTTTTTTTTTTTTTGCCGGCGTTTATCGTTTCATCGCGCACCCTAGCCTGTACCACAGGAAAAAGCAGCTGGGGCAGCTCTGCTACTCTTCCTACCGCTTCATTGTTTCCGTCTTTTCTTTTTTTTCTCATGTTCTTCATTTTAAGCTTTCGACCACACCACTCGCCCACATTTCAGAATGCGCGTGTATCGGGAATAAACAAGCATTTTTTTTTTTTGCAAACACGATAAAGAAATTCTCTATTACAAATCTCATCTACAATTAGGGATTTTTTTTTTTTGGGGGGGGGGGCGGGAACCCCAGACCGATACCAATACAAGTCTCAATTCTTGAGTATCCACCGATACCAAGTAACTGATACCGCTTGTATTTTTGTTACATCAGTTTTCTCCGAAACCAATGATGAATCATTTTAAACAAAAAAATCTGCAATACAGAACTCCAGTTCAAACTCAAACAGCGCACACTGATTATGATGTAGCATTCATTTGTGAAAAAAAGGCAAATGAGAAAAAGGCAAAACAAAACTGAGAGTTGTAAACTTTGTTCAAAGGCCAAAATCATACAGTTTCGACTGTTGACTGTCAAAGCGCGACTCTGTGAAGTTGGGGAAATTGATCTGGGGGAACAGAGCTGAACATTTGACCATTTAGAATTGGGGGGGGGGGGCGACATCTCGTGAGCCAACAAGTGCAATATGTAGGTTATACTGTTGCGGCCACGCCGTGTGTTAATGTACGTGTGCGACGTTAAGGACAGAGGCGTGGGCAGCTTGCGAACTCGCTCACAGGAACAGGTTTGTTCAAGCCAGGCACTGGATAAACACACACACACACACACACACACACACACACACACACACTGATTACTTGACACATTCTTCCTCACTTCCTAGAAAGCTGATAATTTGTCTCGAAACATTCTCAAGATCTGTCAAAAAAAAAAAATCGTATCATTTTTTTCAGGTCTCCTGCCGTTCCATTAATCTGCTTGCCACAGGAAGCGGAGAACCTAATGAAATTCTTTTATTGACCCATCTGTCTCCCTTTCAATTGCGTAACGAATCCCCCCGGGTGTGGTGTACATTCCTTTTATCCATCGTCTCAGCGTACATCCATTTATCTCGCTCTCAATTGCCTTCGCGATTGATTTGCGCTCTGTTCATGCTCGGCCTGTGCCTCTCACCCACATGGCTTGCGATCCCTGTCGCGAAGAGCGAACAAACTGGAAGATGACGGGAGGACAAATGCATTCCTGATGACATAATTACTCGGCGTTGTGTAATCTCCGGGCGGTTGAGTTTCTGTTTCTTGCTTGGGGCTGTCAGTAGTACATCAACGGAACAAGCCGTTTCCCTTTTTTTTTCTTTTCTGCATGTATACACTGATTTGTTGGCCATCAATCGTTGTCTTTTTATTCATTTATTGATTGCTTTTGTGTGGTTTTAACACATTTGGAGACAGGCATATTGCAGATACTTCCACGTTTGAATTTGCGGCCACGGATTTTTGCTTTGACTTGCGTGGTTGCATCACGAGCACTGTATCGTGACGGGTAACTTGGCTCATGAAACAACAACCCGCAGATTTAATATGTCAATATTCATCCAAAAATAGGCTCAACCCTTCTTAGCCGAAGATCACTGCCAAACTAAACACCAAACAAGGAGAATTGCACATGATTAAGGCCTACAAGGCGTCTGTTAACTTGATGCTAACACACAATGGGAAACCTCACAAGCACACAATTAGCATCTATGTGGCGGTGCTTTACCTTTACGCAAACTGTGCCGCAACACTTGTCGACAGACCGTATAAAAACACTCGCAGGGGGTTAGTCTTTATCCTCCGTAAAGAGCAAGTAATATTACTGCTGAATTGAGAAGCCGGGAGAAGAGCTGAGTCTCCACGACAGTATGCCTCATAAACTGTCTCATGGTGCCAAAGTGTGCACAGTGTAAAACAAAATGTGCAAAAACTGTTTAATTCTTTTTCTTTTTTTTTTTAACATTATTGTACGTTTTGCATTATAGAAAGATTTTTAAAAAATAAAATGGTCACTGAATAATCTTAAAACTGGAATTTGCCAAAGTGGCAATTGTCAAGCCGCAACGCTTCTGGGTGGGAAAAAAATAATAATTCTGTTGGAACACAATTCAAAAGCACTGCCTGATATTTATGAATTGGTTTTCAGGACAGGTATTGTTCATTTTCTCAAGAACCATTGTGAGTTGTTCTTTCTTTAATGGAAAGGTAACTGAATGTTTTTTTTTCTCCTTTCACTTTAACTGCAAATTGCACCCGAGAAACCAATATGGTCAGAAAATAAATCCTGAGGAGGGAAACTGTCTTTTTTTTTTGTTTCTTCTTTTTTTAAGGCTCAGACTGTCACCGCCTGCTTTTAAAGCACACATACAACCTCGGCCCAAGATTTCAACACCCTTATTACATGTGACGGAACACGCTGCCACAATGCACTAATTCCACTAAATGCAGGCTGTTCTGTCTCATTATCCATCTCCTTTTAATGAGTCGCTGCAACCCCTCCTCCTCCCCTTCCCCCCACACTTGTCATTCTCATCACTGGCGCAGTCCAAAAATGGACACCTGGCTGCCTTTTAGGAACCATGCACCAAAATAATACCAAATAAAGCTCTTAGCCTTGCGAAGGGAAAGTACAGCAGAGGAAGTGGAGCATAGAGCGAAAGCTGGATGTCATTTCGAACAAGAATATCTCGAGTTGGGGTTATTTGTTGTCCCCGTTGCTCTCCGTGGGCTGAAGTCTTATTAGATTTTAGGATGTATTGTTTCATAAGGGAAGTAATGGAGTTCAAGTAGTTTTATTGGCCAAATAAAAAAAAAAATTGAATCCGTACGATTTACTTCCTCTGCTCTTGCTCTTTTTAAGCGGCCTCCATGAAAAGACACACCAAACATGGACTCCGCATTCCTCCTGCCCATTTATCCATGGCTGTTTAGTTGAACAGTTTACTACCATGAGCTACATTTGTCAGACCCTCTCAAATGACAGCACTTTTAATTTGTAACCTCAGTTTGATAGCTTCCAGACTTGGGAGATGCCATTGATTTTTTTTATTTTTTATTTTCCTGAAACGCAAGTGTTCCTGACAAAGTATTCAGAATGTCATCAAAATAGACTGCAATGTGTCTGCATAAGATTGTTTTTTTTTTAATTATGTAATTGTACTTTTGTTTTGTGTAGGTAGAGGCGACGCCTCCTCAGATGCAGGAACATGTTGGCGATGGACCAAGGAGTGGTGGAGGAATGGCTGTCAGAATATAAGGTATGCTAAAGCTAAATTAAAAAAAAAAAAACTTTCAAAAAGAATAATTTCCTGCACATTTTAAATGCATTCAAAGTCAAACTGATTTAAACACGCCACCCAAAAAAAAAAAAAAAGTCCAAATAAGAGGCAAACTCGAAGTTAGCTAGCTACCTTGGTGCTAACATGGAACATGACTGTAAGTTAGCTAGCTAACATGGAACGTGTCTCTAAGTTAGCTGGCTACCTTCGCGCTAACATGGAATGTGACTCTAAGTTAGCTAGCTACCTTGGCGCTAACACGGAACGTGACTCTAAGTTAGCTAGCTACCCTGATGCTAACATGGAACGTGAAACGCCATCGGTGCTCTGATTAAAAATAAACATGGCCGTTACGATGGCGCGTTCACACACACACACGCGCACACACACTCACACACAAACAACACACCAAAAACTTGCTCCTCTTCACGAGCGTTGCGCAGTCTACTTCGATGCCGCTCGCCTTGTTGTGACACCGTGCGGTACGACGCTGAAGCAACGGGTTGCGCGTGCGTTGAACACATGTAAACCCTTCCCGTAAGTAGCGAGATGATCTGTTCATCTTTCATTTCATGATCCACAAGTGAGCTTCAATGCCGACCAACTTTGCTTCCTGCGTTTCAGACCCTGCCTGACAGCGCCGTGTCAGCCTATGCTGCATTGCTTAAAGACAAAGGTGCCCTTGTGCCCGCACTCTACAAAGTCATCCGGGAGAATTACAGTGAGGTACGGGCATACGCTTTCCAAACATATCTGCGCACGAACGCTGCTGGCTACGTCATATTTGAGACATCGATTTGAACTGGCGCCTCGGTTTTGATAATGCCGTGCTTTGGATCATCCTCAGCTGCTGGAGCCGGTGTGTCACCAGTTATTTGAGTTTTACCGGAGCGGTGAGCCGCAGCTGCAGCGATTCACTCTTCAGTTCCTTCCAGAGCTCCTGTGGAGCCTTCTGTCTGTCAGCGCAGCCAGGGACCCGCACACCTCGGGTTGCATCGAGGCCCTGCTGCTGGGCATTTACAACTTGGTAGGGAAGAGGCCGAGTGGAGTGTGTGTGTGTGTTTGTGTGTGTGTGTGTGTGTGTGTGTGTGTGTGTGTGTGTGTGTGTGTGTGTGTGTGTTTGAATAAGGCTTCACTATGAATTAAATTAAATTCCAACCCTTCTCATCATTTCATGAAACATGAAAATCTGATTCATTTCCGTTATTGTTGTCATTCGACTTTTCACGCCACACTTGTAGAATTTTGTGAATGCGGCGCTTACAAGAGTACAAGTCAGTGTTTGGTCTCTTCGCAGCTCTAATTAACCCTTTCATGCACAATAATGATAACATGATAAGCTGACCGCTGTACTGACCGCTGTCCCTGAAGGTAGACAAATATCTTCCATATTAATTGGTCGCTCATTTGCGGTTATTTCATCAGAAGACTAAAACAAGTGTGTCTGATAAATCTGGTAGTTTTACTTGTAATACAGATTAATGTATTTCTTCTTTGCTTAAAAAAATATATTTATCTTAAATCACCATTGCAATATTGAGTGGGGGGAGAAAAAAAATGCAATTAGATGATTTTTCGAAATTGTCCACCCAATTCGTTCTCGTTTTTTGAAAGATTCATTCATATTATAGCCTTTCTGCTTGTTTCGAAAGCAGTCTCGGCGGCGAGATGGATGCGACATGGACGGACCGTGACAAACTAATAACACCTCGTAGCTCGTTTCATCTTCGTATGCAGCTTGAATCCATTTGGGCTGATGATGTTCTGCGTGCGCGCCAATGTCGCTCTCTTCCTGTCTGCATAACAGAATAGGTCATGTGTCACTCAGCACCCATTGCTCTCCTCCTTATAATCGATCTGACATTAACAAGCACTCAGTGGGGGATGGGGAGCGGCGGGGGGCACACAAACCCTGAGGTGTGTTGCTGTGGGTGTCCACACACAACACTGCACAGACAGAAGAGAAGCGCCAGCACATCACACAAACACCCACACGTTCAACGTCAGTTTTTCTGGAGTATAAGCTCTTGCCAGTATAGTGCATCCACAAACAAAACCAGATTATTTTTTTTTCCCCTTCCTCACCTCCGGATGTACTTTGTCCTCCTCTCTTTCCTCCCCCACCAGGAAATAGTTGATAAAGATGGGCAGAGTAAAGTATTATCTTTCACCGTTCCTTCCCTCTCCAAACCCTCGGTCTATCACGAGGTAAGACACCCGAAAGAAATTCACCATTTTTTTTTCCCCCCACGAAACGTTCAACCTCAAAATGTCCGATGTTGATTTTTCAGCCCTCGGCCATCGGCTCCATGGCCCTGACGGAAGGGGCCCTCGCCAATCATGGCTTGAGCAGGGTGGTGTACAGCGGGCCACTGCTCCAGAGGGAAAACTTTACGGCACAAAACAGGTGACGGAAACGTTGTAGTTATGTTAAGTGGTTGTTAGCGTGCTTTCAAACAGGATTTATCAAAACTTGAAGGACTTAAAATTTGGACCGCAATCCTGAAATGTGTTTGATGTCAATGTGGGAAAAGGTCATTTTCATTCCAGATGTGCACGTCGTTTTTCTGAGCACCTCAGATGGAACCGTAGACTCTTAAATATTGTACATGCAGCGGTAATTCGGTTTCGGTGGTGGCGAACATCAGCTGTCCAGTCTTATAAATTTTCAAGTTGCCGTTTTGCGTTTAGGCGATCTGTCATGTAGTTTGAGAGGAACCCCAAGGCGGACAAACTCGGGAGGTCACGCTTTGACCTGTCAACTCGGCCTCAAGATCTGTGTTGGCTGGCCAACTGAAATTTGAAGTGACGTGAAAGTCATCTTGATAGCATCAGCTCACCCCATGGTGTCCAAATTAGGGCACGGGGGCCATTTGCTGCCTGCCATCCATTTTTTAATGGCCCGCGTGTTGGAAGAGAGGGCCGCGGGCCACCCCAAAATCAGGAAAAAAATGTAAACTGTTCACCTTACTACTTTTTAACAGAAAGATGGGATGAATATTGTTCAAAATCATGAATCTCGAAGTAATTCAACATTTCTTTGTAGACAACTGTAATTGAACACACAGTGTCTGGAGAGTTTCCTGAAAACATTTTTATTTTTTAATGAAGTTTCTTGTGTGTGGGTTTTTTTTTTTCCTTTCTTTTTCATTCCAGATTTGAGGTGCTGACCTTCCTGTTGCTGTGCTACAACGCTGCTCTCAGCTACATGAGCTCCACTTCCCTCCAGTCGCTCTGCCAGATCAGCTCCAGGTCCAAACACGCAGTGTTCCTGATTAAAACTTTGAATGCATTTCAGAAATATGTATATTGTAACTCACATAATATTCCATTTAAATGCATTTATTTTTTTATACTCCTTTTTGTTTTTTGTTTTTTTTTCTCCAACGGCTGTTCTTACTTCTCATGCAGAGGTCTTTGCCCAAATAGTCACGGTAGTACTTGTGCAACTTCCCTGTTCCATTGATTCAACTTCTCCATATTTTGTTGTCGGTTATCCTCCAGAGTGTGTATATGTGGTTACCCGCGGCAACAGATACGGCGCTATAAAGGTATGAGCACACGGATGACGGTCACGTCAGAGTTCCTGGTGCAGCTTCTCACGGGGATACACTATGCATGGTGAGTCTTCAACCATGCCTGCACATGCATCCGATATTCATATTATTCTGTATTTAAGGGCACATTATTTCAAGTGGTGTGATTCATTTCCTTCATCAATTGTGCGTAGGTGCAACGGAGAAGCGGAACTCGGATCCAAAGCCTTGGACGATGTCCTCTATCGGGCCCAGCTCGAATTGTTCCCCGAAGCCTTGTTGGTGAGTGCGGTCATAAAATAGCGCCTGCTTTTGCATGTGAAGCCGAGACACACACACACACACACACACACACATGTGTTTTAGAAAAAAAAAAAATTATATAAATGCATTTCTTTTTTTTATCCTCCTTTTTTTTTTTTTTTTTTTTTTTTCTCCAACGGTGCGATCGCGTCTGTGAGATAGTATTGGAGGCAGATATAACAAGTCAGAACAGAACAAGAGAATAAAGGAGCCCAAGTGTAGTTAATTGGATGTCCTCCTCCTCTGTCTCTGTCATGCTCTCCCAGCAGATGTTAGAAGGCGCGAATCGCTCTAGTGATGCATCACCTCTTTAATTCCATCTTCCTCATCAGCAACTGCCTCAACCTCAGCACCAAGGTCACTGCTGTTCAGCAACTTTGGCTTCTCGTCTGTAAGTCCGTCAAAAACATACATGGGGCAAAACCAGTCCACAATTCTTTTTCTTCATACTTTGTATAATGGACTATGCCGTTGCCGTTTGTGAATTTCACATTTCTTCCTGCAGCATACCGGATCTAGATATATTTTTTTTTAAGTTGAAGTTGTCAATTCTTCAGTTTATACAGTACTCATGACAGTGGTCATAAAATAGCGCCTGCTTTTGCATGTGAAGCCGAGACACACACACACACACACACACACACACACGCTCGCTCGCCGGAAGATTGGCTTCGTCCGCGGCACACTGTGACTGTATTGTGTTTCTCCGTGTGTTTCGGACTGCGAACTCGTGCGTAATCCCACTAGATTATTTACATGCTTTGCACTCTGCTCTGTTTAGCTGTAATCCTCGTGGGGGGAAGCAGATTGAACATAAGCCTGCAGTATTACTACACCAGTCAAGGTGCATTCCTCCACAATGATAAAACAATAAATAAAAAGTATTTATGGCCACGTTAAATTCATGATTCGGTGTTCTCGAAAAAAAAAAGCTCTTGCTTTATGTCAAGCCCTTGCGCCACATTGCTTGACATTGACACCAAATCAAGTGGCCTGCACGTGCGTGCCCCCCCCACCCCACCCCTTACACCCCAATTTGAACAAAAGCCACATTGTGACATGCTTCCACTCTGTTCCATGTTCATTTCAAGAATTTCGACATAGTGCAAAGACTTGTAAATGCTCTTAACTTGGTGGCCTCTAAGATTTTAAACTTCATCTTGTGCATAATTCTGAGAGGGGGAGAAAAAAAAGGGATTATGGTGCCAATCTTATTTGGTTTAGTCACATGGATGGCTTGCTCAGCAGACTGATCAAAGTGTTGTCAATCATGCTTTTGTTCCAGTTATGGTTGGCAAGGGACACGCATTTTCTTTGTTATTCATCTCTGCCCACATTATTTTTCCTCACGTTATATTTTGTATCCTTGATTCGTGGGCAAAAAGGTAAATAAAACGCCAACATTTGCCGCTAGTTTTTACTGCGTTGTGGCTATATACACATTTCTCCCCCTTGGTTTTTTTGGGGGGGTACACTTGACTCACTCTGAATTGTGTGAGTAAATATTTAATCAAGAGCCCGATGGAAAATTAGACGAAGTTTGATAAAAATCCCAAGAATGAGGAACACCATGACAGTGGATGGCCACAGGCTGTACCGCACCTGCAAATTCGCCCCGAAAATACTGCACCGCTCTTGCCCGCAGTCCTACTTGACGACGTTGCGCTTTGTCCTCATCCATCAGGTGGGTAACGCCATCAAGTCGACGCAGCAGGGCGCGGCTCTGAAAAGCAACACCAAGGAGGGCGCGCGAAGTATCCAGGTGGAGATCACACCCACTGCCTCCAGGATCTCGCGAAATGCTGTCACTTCGCTCTCTATACGGGGCCACCGCTGGAAACGACACGGTGAGCAGCTTGCGCGCCTGGTCGCGGTGACGGGAAATTTGAATAGGGAGAAATCAAACGTTCCAAGACGAGAAGCGCTCCCGCGCCGCACAAATGAGAGCGAGCGGTTTAAGAGCTCCATCATTTCACTGTCAAGTCTTGTCACTCATCACCCTTTTGGTTCACAGACCCTTTTTCTACCAATGCTGTCAAGCTTGGCTCTTTGCACTTGTGCCAAATTTGTATACAGTGAACCCCTGTTTGATACTGGGGATGCGTTCCAGGCCCTAACGCGCTAAAGGTGAAAATCCATGATACAGTGAAAGCATATTAAAAAAAAGTTTTTCACTACCTACCTAAACTGATTTAAACGTATTTAATAAACTGACTTTAATGAAACAACTCTCAAGCCCACGGTTTAATCAACAAGAGGCCAGGTGTGCTTGCTTCAAGCTGTCAAAAGTCACACCTCCAAATTAAAAGCATGGCAGTATAAGAACAGTTGCATACGCTTTTATTTTGAAGCCCTCAGCTTTGACAGGATTTCGCCAAATGCCACATCACTGGATACGCCTTGTCGTCGGTTTGAACCCTTCACACACAATTTACAAATGAACTCTACATTTAGGCTTGTAACTGTAAAATAAAAACAAAACATCACTTAAAAGTGTACAATATAGCGGGGGGCTCACTGTAAACAGTTTGTGTCGTATTTTAGGTATATGAACAAAAGCGGACCATCTGAAACCATGATCAAACTTGGCTCATTGGTTCAAATCGATTCTGCGAAGATTTCATCCGAATGTTCATCTCTTCAGGCATATATTTAAATCATCTGTTGTGTTCTGATCACCACATTTTTTTGTGTGTCTTTACCTTTTTGGTGCCGCATTAATTACTTTTTGTATCTTGTTTTCTCATGGTTGTGTGTGCCTGTGCACATTTCCTTTTTTGTTCCGTGTGTGTGCATGATGTGGTTGTTTGCGTGCATGTGTGTGTTGTTCAAAATCCCCCCCACCCCCTATGGCGCACTGGCAGAGTCCCAGGAGGTGAGTGTAGACAGTGAGACCGCGCTGGGGGGCGTGGTCATCCCCGATATCAGTGTGACAGGCGTGAGCAGTGAGCGAATGCCCAACGGAGACTCCCTGCGACCACGCTCGGACGGCCGCACCCACCCGGATGGCGAAACTTTGGGAGGTGCCTCCGAGGTCAGCCCGGAAACCCGAAGTCACGAATCCAGCCTGCGGGGGCAGGAGGTCAGGAGGCAGAAGTCTGTGAGGCGAATGATGGAAAATGAGAGTTCTGGGTCAGCCTCCATAGGGAGGAGCCAGCACTAAGCCCCTCCTCCCCCTTGCCCCACTCCTGGGGTAACCTAGGTAACTGTCTGTGGGGGCGTTGTCTGAAAAGCCGCATGAAGATTTCCCTCTTTTTTTACCTTTTTAACCACACCTTTTTTTCCCCCCACTTATTGGCACTAGGGCTGAACAATGAATTGAATTCAAATCAATATCTCAGGATTTCAAATTGTCAACGGTGATAATTTGGGGTGGGGGCTGCTTCCGTTCTGTTGGTCATTAATGCACGACTTTTCAAAATGTTCAGCCCTAACTTACTGTATACTCTACTCCAGTCAGTCCAACTGCTTTTTGACTCACTCTGTCCCCTGTGGGCTCGGGTTTCCTCACATTTTCCTGCCAACGTTCCTTGACTTCATGACAAAACAAACAGTCCTCATCACAGCTGTGTGTGCGTGTGTGTGATGGACAGCAAACGCTTCCATTCTGGGGTGCTTTCTTTCACCAAATTTTATGCCTCCTGGACAGCAGTCCTGGGTTGCACCGAGACACATATTTTCTATTTAGACATTCGCTGGGCAAAGATATGCAGGTCTTAATTTAAAGCCGGTGTCGAATCAAACCTTTTCATGACTGTTTGAAACTGATCATTGGATACAGTAACACCAGCCTGCATTTCTGTTCACCAGCTTTTTCTGTGTTGCTCTTTTTGCAACTCTTCCTGAGGGTTTGGTTTGATTAAGATACAAAAGGATTTGTGTGTGCAAATATTTTATTTTGGGGCGGGGCGGGGGGGTGAGACTAATTGAATGTGTTTTCCAATGCAGTTGCTGTCTTGCCGTCTTCACTTTCCCTTTGTGGTGTTTGCTAGACTTCTGACCTCAATACTGTCCTTCCCTGTCTTCTTTTGGGACTTAACATGTCACTCCCCTGCCAATAAAACTACATTGTTTGGCTAAACTAACCTTTTGTTGGGGTTGGGAGTCTGAAAAATTGTCTTGACAGCAGGTTGCAGGAAGTCATCTCTCAGGCTGTGGTGATGGACTTTAGGCGCCACCTGCTGGAAGACAGAAATGAGCTAAAAACTTTTGCCATGCAGCCCGTGACTTGCTGTAATTTTTTAAATTTTTTATTTGTCCAAAGCAATAATTCCCAATCACATTGTAATGGCACTATAATGTGTGATCATCACTTTTGCTGCGGAGGATGTGAACAGAATGTCATGGGCTGAATGACAAATGGTTCCTTGCTGATCGCTTGTTGGTTAATTCCCCTTGCTCGTCTCTCTCTCTCTCTTGATTCGCTCCCACAGACGCAGTGGATCTGGGTTCCCCGGATGAGCTGATGGATATCTCGGAAGCGGATGAAGGTCTGTGGCCAGGCGGGATGGCGCCCGACATCACCCCGCCCACCATTACCATCAGCAACAGCGTCACCACGTTAAACCTCGGCGCCAAGGCCATGAAGATGTGTCGTCTGGGCGGGCGCGGCAGCAAGGAAAAGGAGACGAGCCCGCTTCCGGCCGGCCGGGCGGCCAGCGAGAGCGCCGAGGCGTCCGTCAAGCGCCTCACGCTCACTTCGAGCCAGTCGGTGCCCAAAGCGGGGACTCTCACCAGCTTGACGCGCACCGCCAGCGCCGTGTTCTCTCGCTCTTTTGAGCAGGTCGCCGCCGGTAGCGCCCCGCCCTCCAGTACCCACGCCGCCCCAGAGGCTGGCCATTATTCATGTAGCCTGCAGGAGGAAGGGACGGGCTATCTAAACCACACGCAGCGTTCGCCGAGCATCAGCGTGCACCTCGGCTCGGACCTTTGAAATTGTTTTGTTTTTTTTCTATGACGAACTTTCGGATCTGATCCTGTGATTCTTCACCAGTAACCTGGAACTGTAAGCCATGCCAAACACAAGGGACCACAAACATTTTGTTTTTGTCTCTCTGATGTTCTACTGTGGCGTTCTTTTTGGGCGAGTAGTCGAAAGTCACCTGCCGACAATGGGGACATTTGAAGCTCGTCACTCAACTCCGTGTGCAAAAGTATTTTGGGAAATGATTTTTATTTGGGCATGTGTTGCCTTCGCATGCATTTTCCATGCATTCACCTTTACCTTCCCCACCAGTTTATGGGGGTATACATATTGTGCGTGTGGTTGGGCGAGTGTTGTGTGCTGTCTGTCATTTTGAATTTTTTTTTTTTTTTTTTAAGTGGAAAAGCTGCTGATCGAATGAAGTTGTAAATACTTTCCCAGTTCAAAAATACAATGTTTCTATTGCTTTTTAAAGATTGCTCCTTCCCCATAATAATGCAAACCTTACCTTCACTCTCTGGACAAATAGATTGAAACCTAAAAGTTGTGGTCTGTTTACACTTTAGTCCAGCAACTGATGTGCTTGTTTAGAAAATCCACATTCTTCCATCACAAGTTTGGGGCGGGGGACCATTCATAAGTGATGCGTCACATGAACCCATTCTTGACATATACAATCAGTAATTTTGGTGTGATGAGCAATAACAAAGTTAGCACCCTCACTTCCCAAGAAAATGAAAGAGAATAAACTTCTAAATAATAAACAAATGTTTTGACTTGGGTGAGAGGGCTATGGAGTATTACGTTTTGCACTTGTGAAGCTAATTATATATATTTGTAAGTGAGTATTTCTCACCGTTACCAATCCAAATATAAGATGTATTTGTAAGAAAAATTGTGGATTCTTTTTAATATCTCATCTCGCCAACTATGACAAGTATTTTGTAGTAATTTCAGCAATCTTGTTTCCTGTGTCCCAAGTCAACCCATCCGCATCGCATCATCCTACGAACACTAACGTCACCTCCTTCGCCAGTATAAACCGTCGTCTGTGTGCTATTAACGGTTTGATACACATCATTTGGATGGACAATCGGTGTGTTTCACTTTGTCAGTTTACAAATTGTGACTGGTTCTGCTTTTGCTGTACATCATTCTGTTGATGTTTTTTATTGGTCATTTTATATGTCTGAGATGTGCAGCTCAATGCTTCTGGAAATAAAGTGTTTTGTGTTTTTTTTTTTTAACTCAAATTTGTTTTTGCTGACTGGAAAGTGTTTGAGATTGGCTGCTGACATTCCAGGGTGTACAGTATTATTAAATTGGGCTCTGATAATGCATCAATGTGTGGACTGCATATCACTATGATTCCCACTGTGTCCTACCTGTAATTATAAAACAATTTTGGAGAAAAATGTGTATAACCCAGCATGGGACGTGTCACACTTTTTTGTTTAAATTATATGTAAAAAGTCGTCAGAAAAAAATACTTCGGTACAGGTCCCCACCGAAAATGTATTGGAGTACAGTACATTAAAACGGGTGACATACTCGCAGTTGCATCTTCCAGCCACAAGATGGCGACATAAAGCTAAACGTCCTATTCCTTCTATGACGGCGTATTTCCGTTTCCGTGTCCTTGGTAACACGAAGTGGCATTCTCGCTGCAGAGGTTTCAAGCAAAAATGGCAAAAATAAGTAAGGAGACCAAACAGCGACTCCAGCAGCTGTTTCAATGCGGACAGTTCGCCATTCGATGGGGTTTTATTCCAACCGTGCTGTACTTAGGTCAGTATGAATTGAATGCACCCGGCCACTATAAAAGACGCCGGTCTAATGTTAGCCAGTTAGCATTAGCGTGTTACATTTTAGCACATGTGATTTTAATTCTACTGAACTGTAATATAGTCAATCATTAGCACTTTTACTTGAGAAGGTATTGGTCAGTCGAGTAAAACTCGTAGTTCTGAGCCACATAAATCTAATTTTGAGTTCAGGTGAGCTGGACCAACAGAATGGTCGCCTAACTAGTACAAATTAAAACGAGTCACTGTCAAGTAAGGGTACAAAACGTGTTTTGGCATACGGAACGGGAAGTTCAAACGTTCGCCTCATCCGGTCGAAACTTTTTCAAATGTCACATCGGAAACAGCGAAGCTGATGTCATCACTTGGTTCACACCAATCCTACGTAGCATTTCCTCACATTTCTACAATTCAGAGATGCAAATTTTTGAATGGTTGCTCAACTGCGGTATGTTCAAACTGTTTTATAATTAAACCACTGAATGGGAGGGGGAGAAAGAAATTCTCTGTTTGAATCGTACGTTCTTTTAGAATCCGACTGATGCTCTCGAGGCCAGAATAAAACTTATCTCTTACTTTTTTTTCCCAATTAGAATTCATGTGTATTTATATTTAATATTGTTCGTTATGTTTTGTGTCACCTGACAGGGTTCAAACGAGGAGCAGATCCAGGAATGCCAGAGCCCTCAGTCTTGGGGTAACACATGAACACTGTATATTATAATACACATGTGGGAAAGGAGAACCACAATGAATAACCAATTCAGATGTAAAAATCAAGCCTAATCTTATGGAACATCTCTGCCGTCATAGCACTACTTTTGCTGAGTGAGACCAATCGTTATTGTCGTTTCGAGGCTCTCGCAAAACTGCGAGTCATTTTTTTTGTGGTCAGATAAAGTGGTATCAAGGGCAAACGGCCTGATTTTGCAATGCATGCGTGTGGAAAAATACTTAATTGTCGGCACAGTTCGAGTGAATTTTGTGTCAGCTTTTTCTCGTGTGTGTGTGTGTGTGTGTGTGTGTGTGTGTGTGTGCGCGCGTGTGTGTGGGCACGCTCATACGCCTGCACTCTTTGTGTGTCTCACCAAGAGTGATAGTTTGAGTAAAGACTGAACATGTCATTGAAATCGATATCACAATGTAGTAGAACACAAATTTCAAATATATATATACATACATATATATATTCTTTCTTTTTATAAGTAATTTCATGTACACTGTCCAGATAAGTTCAGGTTTAAGAATTGCACTCCACATTTTTGCATATCATTGTTTGCCAAGACCCAAAAAGTTGAAATTGATCAAGCCACAGGTTTGTATGCGTTGTTGTTGTTCATCTGATTTTTGTTTGCACCATTTTGGATTTTGTGAAGACATCGTAGTGAATGCTTAAAAGACGACAAGTCAAGGTGTCTCGTGAGTTTAAAAAAAAAAAAAAAAAAGAATTTGACAAGTAGACTGTATTTCATATTAATTCATGGTTCCGTTGCCTTGATCTTTGCGAAAGCATAATCTCTAAAACCAAAGCATTTATGTCTAATAAATCTATTTTTTTAAACATTTGGAATAGATATGAATGCTTGTGTTTATTTAACAATACATAGGAAGAGAACCTAGAAGAAAAATAATGAATAACAATGAAAAAGTATGCATCACTGTTTTTTTTTTTTTTGTGCTCGTTTTCAGCTTACTTTGGGGTTGAGGAGCGACAGCGTCCACACCAACACCCCACTTCTGAAAGCCACGACAACCACCTTGCATTGAACATTTATTTTTCACATTCTGCTCAGAAATTTACAAAAAATTATATAAATTATAAAATATAAATATAAGCATATTAAAAATGGGCGAGTGGGGGTGAGTCCAGGTTTTCAGGCCTGTCTATTCAATAGCGTGACAGCAGTCGGCAGGAACGAGCGGCGGTACCTCTCCTCCTTGCTGCGCGGGTGTATCAGTCTCTGGCTGAAGGAGAGCTGCCCAGTGCTGTCAGGGCGGCCTGGAGGGTGGTGGGAGGGTCTGTCCATCATAGCTGTTCGCTTAGCTAGTATCCTCCTGTTGCCCACCTCCTCCAGAGTGTCCAGGGAGCAGCCCACCAGCATCTTAAATGTCAAATGCTGTTCTCTATACAGTATGTTGATTTGGTCACAGATATTCATTTGCTGCGATGTCATTCTATACTTGCGTTTGCCCCGTTTTTCATGTTTTTGTCAATAAATGTCTGACAAACGACCTAGTAAGTAAAGAGTCTTTTTTCGGGGGATGGGGGCAGGGGGGGGTGGTGGTGAGGGAAAACTTTGGAATATTTCAGGTCTTACATTTTTATAACTATAGCTTTGAATTTGAAATCCATACAATATTCTAATTTATTGAGATATCCGTGTATGTACATGACACTGATGTAATCTTTGATGAAACTTCAGAAAGATCCCCAATTGCATCGTCGATCTTCCTGAATGAGTGAGAATTATTAATCAACCCCCCACCCCCAAAGTTATATTTGATACTTTGCAGTCGAACAAGACCCCTGCCAAAGTGTTCTTTCAAATCAAGCTTCATTCATCGGTTGGCAAATCCATTTTTTATTGATGTTTCCAAAATACATTCAATAAAAAAACTTGAAATAAATATGCATAGTTACCATGACTTCAAGTCTCAAAACAATTCAATACGATAAATATCTTTAAATAATTCAAATTACTGTTTGAAATAAATAAGGCAGACCCACCACAATGGGGTTTTTGTTTGAGCAATAAATATTTTCTTCAAGGAATAAATAGTCAAAAAAAAAACCTATGCGTCATTCAAAAACGTATAAATACATCATCATTTCGTCAGTGGATTATGACACGTCAATGCGGATACAACAAGTTCCCTTAATTTGGCTCAGGCTTTGCCCAACTTTCCTGAGACGGCCTTCGTTGCGGATGTGACGACTTCAATGTGTTGATCCTTGGCAGGTCTTCTCCTCGGCCTATTTCTCCGGCTCAGCGCCCTCTTGCCGTCAACCACGAAGACGTTGAGCTGCCGCAGGATGCTGTGCGCCGTCATCTTTCTCTGAAAAGCATCTGCGTTGTCCAATGACTCCAGCAGGCTTTTCTCCTGGCTGCTGCTTAGGCTTGTGACCTCATCTGCCTTTTTCATCTGCAGGACAGGGCAACAAACACGTCAACAAATGTCTGATCAAGAAATAATACAGCAACAGTAAAAAGAAGAAAAAAAAAAACTTCCCCTGGGGAAAATCTGGAATGAGTCTGCTAATTGTTGTCTGAAACGTGCATCTGTTATCGGTTAATGGTGAATCGCCCCAGCAAGACCGTGCCAATAAGATCTCTTAAGTGTAATTTCACGACCTCACCTAAGAGAATTTATCATGTTAAAGTCATATCGCTAAATTGCTGGTCTGTGCATTACCAACCTTTTGTTTGATGTTCCAGAGGAAGAGTTCGGTGTAGCGTTTGGCCTCGGACAGAATTCTACTGTTGGGATATTCTTTCTCCACTTGCTTCAGAAGACTCGTATAAAAGGACAGACCTTGGGCCAGCCTGTGGAGGCAAGCCTCCTAGGAGGAGGGAAAACATACAATCAGGGTAAGACAGTCAATCATGTACAGTGATGGGGAGTTAAAGTGAGAAGCTGTCATTCGGATGATTTCTTTTTTTTTTTTTATGGGGATGGCGGACTTGCGAAGGCCAGGAGATACCGGCGCTGTAAGGCGGCAACGTATTCAGTGTAGATCACTTAACAGAAAGCAGCGGTTTGGAAAATATTGAACTATTCATCATAAAAGAGGCCTCAAGACGTTGAACGCCAACCCCAGTTCAAGTTGACTGTCAAAATAAACACGAAACAGAAAGATAGTTTGACGCTGTGTGTTCAAAACAATCACATAGCTTTGCCGTCGAAGTGCACTTATCAATTATGCTAACAAACAATTTATGCTAGCTGCCGGCGTCAACCGAAACAACGGGTAATTGACCAGAGGCGCCACTTTCTGTTTTTTTCTTGCTTGAGAATACATGTTTGCATGATTATTTATTTATTGTTAGCCAGTTCAAGACATTAGCAAAGCAATTAGAATGCATCGTTTGGAAAACAGAAAGGTCAAGTCTACACCGTGCTAGCTACCAATTAAACACCAGGCAACATGGAAAGTGAATTTCTTTCGCTTTGACAAGTTATCAAAATGATATGGTATGTAATCAACTGTAAATGTCATTTTTACTTTTGTAGTGAGGTGTTTTTACTTTTACTCAAGTACTGGAGTTGAATCCGAATCTTTTGAATCAGGATCTGTACTTCTACTTAGAAGAGAGTTTTCCCCATGTCGGGTTTTTACCTTGCTGAAGTTGGAGGTGGGACAGTTTGCTGGAAGCTGGGAGATTTTGTAGTCCTCCAGTAAATGAAACTGGACATTGTTTTGGAATTCATCTTCAAACTGAAATTGGAGTTGGTCACAAGAGAAAGAAAGTATTACACACAGAAGAAGGAGCCAATGACGAGGCTTTTGAAGTTCCACTTACAGATTTCTGGTGGTCTTTAGCGGTGTCCAGAAAGGAGGTCCAAACATCAGAGGAGCTCAGCAGCTCGGAGGACTCTGTTTCCTCCTCACTTGAGGTGCCAGTTGATGGAAAGACGGAGGGTGTCTCTGTAAGCGGAGCTCCGGCGGCACGTAGTACTAGAAAGGCCAGCAACCCCACAGCGAGGATTCGCACGTCTATGTGGAAGTATGAGAAGAGCATGAATGAATGCCAAAAGAGGAACCAAAAAAACAGGAAACATTGATCACTGCAAGTCGCTGACTTACACGTTTCGGAGGTCATGCTGCGATGCCAAGTTGAGATTCCTCTTGTGTTGACCGCCTGATCTCGTGGAACTTGTCTTCTCTTCACATCTCCCCGCCATTATATATTCTACTGACTGCAGGGATTTCCTAATACCTTCCGGCTTCAATTATCCGACTTGTGTGACTGATATTGCGTTGTTTTTTTTTGTTGTGGTCCCTCCCTAAGTCGTACGTCTACCCAGTATATTTTTGGCCGTACTGTGTATGAATCAGAGATTTTTTTTTCTTTCTTTTTTAGATGATGCTTGTGAAAATACTGGACGACAGTCACCACATCAACAACCATAACATCGTTCATGGATCAACTTTGATGACTTGAAGGCATTTTTTCTCATATTGTCAATGTCCAGTTCCCTTTGTGCTGACCGATGCAAAGTTTGGTCTTGACACCATCTCATCATGTTGATTAATGATCGTTCCTTCCCTTGAAGGGATCGCTGATCATCGTCGTGGTATTTGGAGAGCCAAGTAATTTATTGTTGATACTCAATATTGAGGACCGCTGCTCTCGTATTAAAAGATGAGAGAATAAATAAAATCACAGCAATATAAAATAACGAAATGAAAGACAGTAATTAAGATAAGACATCCTTTATATGTCCCACACTGGGGAAATTTACAGTCTACAGCAGCAAGATTGTGGGTAGAAAGAAGAAAGAAGAAAAACAAAGTGTATGCATTCACAAATTCACAAAATAAATGTTACAGATTATGATGAATATGATGATTTCTTTCGCAACCTGCATTATGCTAGATTGCAGTGGTGAGACAATATTCCCCTGAAGGTTTAGTCACTGATTAAAAAGAATCATGGGCAAATTTTACTGTTGACTCAAGTGGAAAGTGATTGTACTTTAATGGCTTGCAGCGGGTGTCCATCCTTTTGGAAATAGGGGCTTTTTGGATGCTTATTAATGTGAAGGGTTACCAGTTTGATACGCACTTATTTCCAACAAACACTATGAGTTGGTCGCAGTGCTGACCTTTGACCTATATCATTTTTTTTTGTTTCTAATATTGTCATTTACAGTACATGTTTAGCATCTTATGTTCCTGTATTTTAATGTTAATCAGATTATTATTTTGATTTTTTTTTTTTTTTTTGTGGCGTGTACTTGGTGTAAAAAAACATTTGAGAACCGCCGCAATACAATGTTCACACGTGCACCGAATGAAATATTTTAACATGATCATACGTCGTATTATGTCTTCCTATTTTTGCTCACATTGTCCAGTCAACTCATCGATTACTATTACTCAGTGAGAGTGAAAAAAAAACATCAAAAAAAGATTTGTTCAGGATGTCGTAAGAATGGGTTTACGTGTTCATGCTTCATCATTTTCATTGATGTGACTCGAATCCATTTTATTCATTTCCTCAGATCGCTCATCCTGTGGGTGACGAGGAACTGGATCCCGTCCGATTACGTGCGAAAGGCAGACTACACCCCGGACCTCACCATTCAATGACAACAGGCCTGTGTGAAAATAAAGTACAGTATCTGTGGCATATACTGTATGTATTTTTGGAAATCTTAATTTTCAGATTCTCATTTCCGATTTTTAGATTTTAACTTCTACATATTATTCGTATTAGACTGTCGAGCCTGATCAGGCTAGACTTTCCTTTCCTCTTCATCATTGCTTTCCAATTCCTCTCATACTTCGAGTGAAACCTTGTGTCACTATATTGTCTCGTCATGCTTTGCCGGTCTGAAATTCAAGTCTCAACACGGCTGTTCCTCATTTTTGGCCTTTCATGATTAGTGAACAAAAAAAAAACCAAAAGAGAAGTTTGAATGATTTTTGGTTTCGTATGATGTTGTCATTGTGCTCTCTGGAAAATATTTATATGTGATATGAGATGAAGTTTACACGCATGAATACCATCGTGGGCCTTCCATGATATTTGCCAGTAACGCATGTGATTTCAATATTTTACATTTGTAGTTTTATATGAAAAATAGCAGTCTAAATCATTCATCCATCCATTATCGTACCCTTATTGAATTTATAATGCGTTTTAAAATTCTGGGAAATCGCAAAGAGCTACAGTAGAGGGTTTGAAAAAAATCCAGGACTTTATAACAGTTTTAAATAAAAGCGTGAATCGCTTTGAGTGCCTTGTGGGTGCAAAAGCGAGATATAGGTGAAAGCCCATGTAGCATTACAAAATTCAATCGAAAATTTAAAAAAAGAATACATCAAATGGCTTTTGCCACCTTTCTTTACTTCATTTAAAGGCCACTCTGCGGCTCCTTTGGGCGTGCCATGGCCACTTGGGGGCAGTACAATACAACAAAAAGAGTCAAAAGTTATATTCGTCGTTCCTCAGCGAGGATAAAGAATATATTTCTGGCCATATTGTTGTATTATCTCGCTACATGTGTTTTTTCACCAATTAGTCAATTTGCAGCTGAAGTCCAAATAACCCATACCTATCAACTCATACGGTTTAGCCATAGTTCATACGGATTTTGTGGTGAATCTTACGTATATGGCCGTATCAGACAAATCATACGGATTCTGAAAATTTCCGTTTTTTTTTTGTTTTTTTTCCCCTAACAGGTAGTTCCGTTTGCTTTTTCCCAGAATGGTGCTCGTCTACTCGAATGCTTTCATTTCCGGTAACTTTCCAGTAAATCACGTGGTTCCTAGTTGAAAACAGCAGAGTATTCATTGCATTGCAGATCTACAATAAATATCATTGAAAATTTCTTGTTTTTTTTTTCTGCCGTTATTTTGACATATAAAATGCTTTGGTATGTTATAAGGATTTTTTGCTCTTTATAAGGATTTTTTTGGTAGGTTATACAGGTTGGCGCTCCGAAAAGTTGACAGGTATGTTAACCTGAAACTGAATCTAACATTTTATTTGAGTTTCCCCGTAAATTCAGGTCTATATTTTTTCCACATTCCGTTCACACACTTCAACGTCAGTTCTGTAAATGACTGTGCTGCACATTTTATTGACTACATTTGTGTGTGTGTGTGTGTGTGTGTGTGTGTGTGTGTGTGTGTGGGTGTGTGTGTGTGTGTGTGTGTGTGTGTGTGTGTGTGCGCGCGCGCAT